TTACTGCCCATGACTTGTTGATGTCGCGTTCTGTTTCTATGTTCCATCATCGTTTGAACACAACTCATCTTTGCTGTCCGGTTGTTCAGTCCCCATAAGCAAACACATCCGCTCCGGTATTTGTTTGGAGTTCCCATTCTACGAAGAACTAGGCTGCGTTAGTGAACATCATGGATGTAATAAACTTGCGCCACCGGTTTGAGAGTCCATGTAGCTTCTAAGTGGAAAGTGTCATCCATTGGCGAAAAGCCTTTTGAGCTAAACACACCCATTTGCACACCAGTTGCTTTTTCACAGGAGACTCGACTGAAGCTCAGCTGATATTCTTCAGAGGAATGTGCTATGTAGAGCCTGACTCACTTTTCAGTTGTTATGATACCCTAAGTGTCCCCCAGATATTTTCTTGAAAGGTTTTCAGCAACCTTATGAGTAGTATTCCTTCAAGTGGTCTATTATTTCACCACTCCAGATGGTTTTCATCATGGATCTTCACCATCATACTACTCAAACCTGTTATAAGTAGCTACTGATCTTAATCCGTACCTACACTCATACACGCATGTTCCAATGGCTGTAATTCATCTGCTTCACTGTGCCGATTTATCTCCAAACAAGCACTCTGTTTTTTTTCATGAAGGAAGCTACTCACAAGGTTGCTGAGAACTCTCCGGCAGCCCACGACCGGTTTCGACCGAACTGATTTGCAAGTGAGTGTATTTCTCGAAGACAGTCCAGTTTGATTTCAAGTAGAACATAAGGTTGACGGAAACTCGGGGACTGCACCTACCTGATGAGCCCCAAGAAGGGCGAAACCGGTCGTGAACTGTCGAAGAGTCTTTGGCAACCTTGTGAGTAGTTTCCTTTATGAAAATATACTGCGATATCTCGAATATCGTGCCAAGTGAAACATGAGGCGGCCTGTGCACAGCACATTCAGTTGTAGAATATCATAAACGAGAGATTCAGTTGAGTCTCTCGTGATTTGCAAATGAGTGTATTTCTCGAAAATCACTCTGGTTGTTGACATCTGACAGAATCACACGGAAATGAACTAAACACAACTTTCCAAACAAACACAATGAGCGCGGCATCAGCTGACTGGAACGAGTAACCGAAAGTTTCATTTCTATGGTCCCACATTCCCACACCTTGCTTAAAATGCCCTCCCACGCACTGAATGAACAGTGTTCAGTCCCATTAGCTAACAAAACACACCTACCGCTAAGTGGATAACTGACCTCCAGCGCTGTCATACATGACTCCAGATCAAACGAACTGGCGAGAATACGTTAGCGACTTGCTGATTTGCTCCGCCAACCCAAGCATCCCTCCGTTATCGCGTGCATGCCCGACTGCCTACAGACGCACATACACACACGCACACACGCGAACATACCTATCTATGACAGACATGTAAAACCTCATTTAGCGGTGTAAACGACGTCATAGACATACTCACACAACGGGGCGTGCGTAATCAGCACATGCTCTGCTACACAGGACATTGTGTGTGTGTGTGTGGTGCGGCCAGGTGTGTGACGGACGAGGCTGCAGGTAATCAGGCGTCGTTCGACATGTGTGAGAGATGCATGGAGGTTTCCAATCCAATCCCCGATCAGAATGAGATGCATCTGGACAGATTGGTTTGAAACTTTTACGGATAAAGCACGCAGCTCTCACGTGTGCTGATACGCACGCGCCTATGTGTTTTGTGTTTATACGAGAAACTGGTTGTACAACTGCCTGTACAACCCACAAAGCAACAACAAAACTAACTGCCATTTGGGGAAAATTTGAAGGAAAAAAAACATTTGTTCAAGGCTTTTAATAAACTAGCGGGCGTGGAAACTCTGCTAGGCGATTATGGCAGTCACCATGCCCAAACCAACATTGTGTGATCTGGTCAACTCTAACGTTCCAAACGATGGCAACATACTGCTCACCAATGTGGAAGTAAATCAGACCAATTCGAACGAGTTCTGTCCGAACGGACACTCGATCCACGATAGTGGTGACGATGAAACAGGTGAATACCTCAGTGAAGTCACAACAACTCAGTCAGACAGACCGAACGGTACCGAACTCAGAGGAGTCGAGTCGCCAAACGGAACATCCATATCGGCGAATGACTATGCCAATTCCGAAGAACTGGATCAACCATCACCGACAAATATTTTGCGCTGGAACTATCGACATACTAAACTGTTTATTGGACAAATTCCCCGTAGTATGCAAGAAGACGATGTGCGGTTAGTGTTAGAACCATTCGGACCTATCTATGACCTGCTTATACTACGAGACAAACTGACTGGAATGCACAAGGGTGAGTCACGATCTGTGGATTCGCTATTCTTTTTCCCCTGTCTTTTGTTTGCGTCTGATGCCTAAATCAGTGACTTGATGAACCGAAGATCGAAGTGTTCCCTCATTCTGCGACGCTTTGAAATAATTTTCCTTGAGACACTTTTTGAGCGCGGATCTTTGAAATTTCACAATTTTTTTTCAAAAAAGCAAGTCATATGGGCATTAGCTCGTCACCTAGACAACTTTCGGCATGCCCGTTGGAAAAAAACTGCTCGCTTCCACGGTTTATGTGCGGCGGCGGTGGCCTCTTCAAAGTGCGTTTTTTTAAAAGGAAATGAGGTTAAAGAACAAAGGGGACAAACTTAAAGTTTATTTCCTCAAAATTGACAGAGGTACAAGAATTGATTTTTAAGATAGATCAAGGGGTTTACTCTTCAAGGCAGGTTAACACGCCAATTCGCACAATCATTGCGTTGCTATCAGTCGTCTGAGCGATGCTTGATTGGCTGAAAAGATAATGAAGCGACATAGATGTAGTACACTACTCACAAGGTTACTGAAAACCCTTCGACAGCCCGTGACCGGTTTCACCATTCTTGGGACTCATCAGCGTACTCTTCGAGTTTCCGTCAACCTTATGTTCTACTTGAACCCAAACTATTGCATGAAATTATCGATCCAGCTGGGTCCTAGGTGCATCTCCCGTCAAAACCAAATTGGTATGCAAATGAGTGTATTTCGCTTCTGTTGTAACGACCTTCATGAGGGTTTGATGGCCCCCGGGCCCCATTGTACTCATAAACACCATAATTTTTCTAGCTGTCAGTTGAACGATGGTGATGGAGGTCGTTCATCCGTAACGTCCTCGCGGTGCATGGTAACCGTGTAGCTCAAAGAAAGTATGAGGGCCGATTGACCTATAGGTTGCCCAATCCCAGAGTGCGTTGGATTCAGACCAAGCACACTAAGGGCAGCAGTCTCGTGCCTGAAGGTCAATCTGTAGAAATATAAGTATAAAAACCGTACACGAAAATTCCACCCAAAGCTGCAAGATGCCATTCAAAAAGGTGCTGTTCCATAGAGTCTACGAAAAGCACATCCACGCCAACTCCGCGCCTGGGCCAATCACTCCACTTTCGAACCGACTGTCACGTGGGTTCCGTTTTTTTCCAGATCAATGTAATGCGACCATTCGGAAACTCCGAAGTATAATATAAAATATATGTCTGCCGTCAGTTCCTGTTAGTTTCCCACGAATTGCGCTTTTAACTTTGTCATCCAACAGCGCACATCATTACAGAGTGAAAGCCTACAGTGAAACCACATTTGACTTAGGGTCAATGACAGTCGATTATTATGCCATCATACAGAGTGGGTTTAACACTATACAACGAGAAATGAGGGAAGGCCAGTCAAGCAGCTGAAAAGAAGCGAGCACGAAAAGTAGTTAATGAGATGTCACGGAAAGATCGACATCGCCCCAGTAGCATCCCATGCGTGTTTCCTCATCCTGAGGGATTATGTGATGCCCGAAAGATCGGAAAATATCACGTGATCGAAGCTCAAAAGCCGCTCGTCTGACTCTACTTACAGTCGTTACGTCAAGGATCGTTAAGCAACCCCACGTCTCGGCAGGATCGCTTCGCCGGCCAGCTTGAAAAAAAAACTGTCACGTGACTTCAAAGTTCGATACCGATCACAATGTGCTTATTCGTACAGGACACATTATTGTCAACGTATTAACCTCCCCTTCCCGAAATCCTAGGAGTGATTTTTAATAGCTTTTTAGCGTCTGATCGTCAAAACTCGGCTTATCACAGTGATTTTGATTTATCGGGCTATGTTCTCCATGGTTTTTATCCTTTTAAGACGGAAAACTTATTAGGCTAAAGTGTAGACAAACTGAATTTGGGTTTTTGAACCAGCGGATTAGCTCAAATCTAGCGGTTAAACCACACCATAGGTCTTTAAAAGACTATATCATGATTTAATTGAGAAAAACGATAACTCAATAAATTGATTATCTTAGTGAATGTCGGTTCACCTTTAAAACAGAGAAAAAAGGAGGACATATATTCCAAATACCGATAGAGAAGCAACGTGTTTTATTTCGTTTTGTTGGTCTAACTACCTGTTGACTTATTCTGACAATCAGCTGATTGATACTAAATTACCACTTGATTGGTCATCGATCAGATGACGTGTCCGATCCATGAACATCACTCACCCAATGAGGATGAAACTCTTAGCATGGCCGTGATATTTTATGCTCGACCGCATGTTCTTCTTGACATTCTGAGTCAAAGGCTTTTTAGTTATCCACAGTAGATGGTGCCACACTTTGGCCACTCGGCACACGCACTGAGCGTATAAGTCTTCAGAACTATTTCACAGTGAACTCTTACGAGACGGTACGGCTAGTGGATAGGATGGGTATCAGAAAGATCCCGCATAGACAAAACAGACTGTGTCCTGTTTATCTTTGTAATGTACTACTCATAAGGTTGCTGAAACTCCGTCGACAGCCCACGACTGGTTTCGCCCTTCTTGGGGCTCATCAGGTAGGCGCAGTCCCCGGGTTTCCGTCAACCTTATGTTCTACTTGATACCAAATTGCACGAAATTAACGAAATACGCTCATTTGCAAACTAATTTGGTTTTTCGAGAAGAAGGGTGAAATCGGTCGCGGAGACTTTACGTAGCTGAGTAGTTGTTTCGGACAGATTTATGTTTGTCGTGCCTGATGATGCTCAAAGTGCATTGGTCCTCAAACTTTTGGTGTAGTGAAAACTTTCCTTTTAGGATTGTGTTTGCCTAACCATGTGGTGTAGCCATCGACGATCAGCCTCTCTCTTTTACCGCTATTTGGTCTCATCTGCTAGGTGACGTTTTTACTGAGTCTCGTTTCGACACAGTGGGCAACAAAATCTTGTCATAAAACCCAGTGTGACACCGAGTATTTAGTCTGTTTACTACACATTTTAAAACATCTTGATCCACTGATCCATTTCAACGAGTCTTAAGGAAAGAAACTTGCCAACAGGGTTAAGTTCATGCGTTATTTTTCGCCGTTAAATGTCCAAACCACCATGGGAAACGGTTTGTGTCATTGATCCAGCCCCAAGACCACGTGATCATTCAGCAACTCAAGATGGCCTCAGAGTAAAACTCAGACCTTCCTGAGAGAAGGGTATATGCTTAAAAAGAAGGGCGGTTCCAAGGAGATTTCAATTTTCGTGACCATTTACTTCGTGCTAGGACCTAGATCGGTAAGCCGAGTTCGCCACTGCATTCCATTCCTTTTGTACAGTGCTGTGCGGTCGTAACTGATGAGAGCAATCGGAGCTGCTCAATCCTTATCTGAATGAGTTGATAGAGGAGATCTGACGGTATATTTTTGGAGGCAAACGCATTGGTCTGAACACCACTAACTCTTCGTGATTACTGTTTGGTGAACGATACACACCTTGCAGATAAAAACCACGATGGTCGCATCTCAACACCGGCTGAAGCTATGCAGTGCGAAACGTTGTCTGAATCCAAGAACTGCGCATCTTTCATATTGGATGTGCGGGGATCTGCGCCGATTAACACGATTTTCGTCTTCATCGGTCGTCCGAAGCGTGATCCAGGCGAGTAATTATGCACTGAGGCTCAAGATCACTCCAGCTCAAGGTCACTCATCCTCGACCGAAAGGAGAGGACGGAGTGGTTTGAGACACATATTACTAATAACAGTAATAGTAATAATACGAACAAATAGACAGTCCCGAGCTTTCAGGATCACGGTAACCCAATCCAGCATTACAATATTGTGTGTATAGACACTACTCAAAGATGAATCCACACGATGACGTTTAAAACAGTGATCTTTCCTGGAATTTTCTCAACTGTTTCTCTCTCATTTGCAAATGACCGGAAAATCCTTGGAATCGGTGCAATTTCCAGAGCAAAGCACTTGTTTTCACTGGTCCAATTTACATCCAGTCCGGTTCTGTACACAACAAACAGATTCGCAACACACCGAGTGAGAAGATACTGGACCAGTGGGTTGCTTCACCAGCAACGCACGTCATCCGCTTTTTAAATGGAGAGTTCATCCTTTAAGTGAAGCCAATCCAAGAGTCGAGAAGCAGTGTTCAGCTGTTTCATCCCTACTTGTAGTCGTAAGTAATGCGTACCTCACAAAACTCCGTGGAATTTCGAACCCACCCCGGGCCAATGTTTGGAATATTTGCCAGGTCTGCACTCACAGGACGAAAGCTAGATTGGAAACCCCAGAATCTCCTCACATTACTGGTTACCAGGAAGTTTGAAACCTTCGTGAAGCTCTTCAACTGGGACTTTATGAGATTTCGGTCATCAGTCGGCAAAACCGAGACAGCCACTCTGGTGCGTAACCTTTAAGCTCTCGTAATTCGGGTTTTTCCAGCGTGCGCGGGTGGAGTGGAGGTAAAATGGTTACTTTATCCTCCAAATGTCGATAAACTCTGATGCGAAAGCACAGCAGCTTTGATTCTCGCCTTTCTGGTGTCGACGTACCAGAGTTATCGAATGAAAACAGCCGCCCGGGGGACGCCTTCGTCAATCAGTGGCAGCCTCCACTGAAGGTGCAGCCTTGACGAAAGGAGATATCAACAGAAAACCCACATCTAAATCCAGGGTTCGTGAGCTTCGAATCAGGTCTCATTGTTTCAGAGCAACCTGTGACAAATCTATACGCTTCGTCTCAAGGCAAATTGAAATGAAATCAACCGCAAACTGAGCCGTGTCAGAGGAATATGAAGCCGGGAAGCAGTTGACCTTAAAAATGTCAGTCAACCAAGAAGAGTTATATGCTAACAACATTCCGTGTTTTGTCATGTCTACAGTGTTCACTTGCGAGGATACCGTCATCCGATGAGAGCAAGTGATTAGACAGAGGCCTAACTGCTTGCCTTTCCGTCGTTGCATGGTGATTGCATACAGTTCCGTTACGGCAAATTTTCAGGATAAACTAATTCAATTTTTGCGAACTAATTTGGTTTTGCGAGAGACTCACCTGGAACCCAGCTGAGTTTCTCGTTTGTGATGTTTCCAGGCAACCGAATGTGCTGCACCAGGCCACCTCATGTTTCAGTCGCTACGATATTCGAGATATCGCGATACATGCATAAATTTGTAATGTACTGGTCATAAGGTTGCTGAAAATCCGTCGACAGCCCACGACCGGTTTCGCCCATTCAGGTTTCACACATTCAGTTGCCTGGAAACATCACAAACGAGAGGTTCAGCTGGGTTCCATGTGAGTTTCTCGAGAAACCAAATTAATTCTCAAATGAGTGCATATTGGATAATTTCGTGCAATTAGGGTTGAAGTAGAACATAAGATTGACGGAAACTCGGGGACTGCGTCTACCTGATGAGCCGGTCCCAAGAAGGGCGAAACCTGTCGTGGGCTGTCGAAGAGTTTTCAGCAACCCTGTGAGTAGTTTCCTTTGTGAAAAAAAGAGTTAGCTCTACTCCTCATGCAAGAAAAACGCAAATGCAGAGTTGGGCAAATGTATTCTTCTCCATCCTTTTCACAATCAGCGTTTATTACAACTCGAATTAAAAAGCTCGGGAAGGAAAAGAGCAGTGAAGTAGTACACAAGTGCTGTACCGAAACAGGTCGCTTTTGATGATTTGTCGATTCTGGAAGTGTTGTATCTTAAGAGATAATAGGAATACTACTAATTACTAACAATGAGGACTTATTCGTAATAATTTACAATTATTAATCGTAGAAATGTAATAGTTGCTATCGGTGGTCAAAGTGTATTCTAGGTCAACCCAACAGGCAGTTTCTGTTCGATCGATGCAATGAGGTAAACTCAACTAAACAAAGCTGGTCAATGCTGCAAGCGATTTAAAGTGAACGCTTTGAAAGTCAAGCGTTTGCCAAAAACCAATCATTACAACGCTACTGTAGGGAACAGATAGATCAGTGTAAAGTTTCTGAATATTCCTAGTGTTGTTTAATTGTGCACAATTGATATGGGAAGCAAAGGGCGAATTGTCAAACTGTGCGCTACTATATTATTGCTCTGTTTTGGGTGTATGAAATTTGAATGTGCCAAAAAATTAGCATTTTTAAAGTTGAAATAAATCCATTCGGTCCAGATTGTGAGTAACTACATATCAAGCTTTGAGATGACATGTGCAGGCCTGCAAGAGCATTCACCGAAAGGCCAAACGCCCGGGGATCCTTAGAGAGCTGAATTCAAATTCCAAATCAGTAAGCACTAAGAAATGGGTCGTACTTATTCACTGAGATGACGTACCTCTTTCCAGGTATTCCCCTTCCTGTTCGGTTTCTGAGTTCACCTTAAGAGCCCCATGAAAGAGGTGATAACTCATCTGTACTCGATCCAGCGGGCGGAGTCAACAGTCAAAGCCCTCAGAGAGCTGATCGCATACGTCCGTTCTGACATGGGAAAACGCGGACCATAGTTGAAAGCCAACTTATGAGAACCTATCATCTCTTCCTTAGCAGAAGCAGTCACACATCTCTACCTTCCTGAAAGACATACTTCTGAGACCTCTACAGAGCATTTTTGAGTTTTGGATCATTGAACATAGCTTCGTATTTCTTGCGAACAATCCAATCAGCCATCTTGAGCAATAAGCATCCCTGTTTCCTATCCACATATATGTATATATAAGTAGTGGGGGCGAGATGGTCCAAGTGATTAGAGCGCGAATTTACTGACCGGAATGTCCGTGTTCCGAACCCGACCTCTGCCTCTCGACTTCCCCTGTCTAGGCTTGGGCGACCTGGCAGTATTCCAGCCCTCGTTTAACTCTCGGGTGGCATGGCAGCTAGGCACCGAAAGGGTGCTACAGCTGAACGATATATAAGTAGTATATATCTAAACCCATTATCTCTGTCCTTATCAAGCACTGTTATCAAGCACTTTGCGGCAGATTGAAAAAATTGCCGTAGCAACTATCGTTGAAACTGAACTTGTAAGAGCTTGATATCGAAGTGTCATTTACATTAAATACCGCTCCCATGGGTTATTCCTTAAGCATCCCAGAGACTTCTCTCGTTATGTACTTCACTCTTCTTCAGGTTTTTCTCGCGAAGGGATAGTTGAAAATCCTGCTAACAGCTGCATTCTGACTGATTACGCAATAAACATGGCCCTACCATTAACGAACTAGATTAGGTCTGCGTCTGCTAATCACTGACATTGGGATGCTGTGTGGAATGTACCAGCCTAAAACTTTGTCCTTAGAGTTATCTCGCACTTTCACAGAATTTTCTGTGTATTTTGAAACAAAACTCATAAAAGTTTATCAACTGAGAGTAGATAGCCGCGTTTTTCATTTGGACTATTCATGTTGGAAGAGCTAGCGGTGAGTAGGAATTCCGGGTGCCGCCACGACCACAGTCGTGTTCTCACCATCCCAGAATTGTTCACACTCCCCTCTCATAGATTCCACGATCAGCTTTTGTCTTGATGATGCTTCTAAGGTGGTTTTAGCCAGCTGTCAAGCCGCAGTTTTCTCCATCGCAGCCCAAGATCTGTCCCCGTCTGTCTGTCTATCCATCCACCTCTTAGTCTATCAGACACATGCGTAAAAAAATACCGCTGATCATGCGTGACCAACGCAATGAAATCAGAACGTGCAGATTGACAGAGTCACACACGATTAGATTATGTTGAGGTGATGACAGGTTTTCTAATTACAAAAACTATACAGACGGTTTCAAATCGTGTCTGATGGCCAGTAAAACAGTGGCACTTCTTTCAGTCTATCAAACTTGATCGTGAATATTTATTCCTTTCAGTCGGTCTCAATACCTTGTTTTTTTATAACGAGAGCCTCGGTTTCTTAAACAGCAGGATGGAGACTGGTGGGGGTGTGGGGTTCTAACCCTGATCGCTGAAACGATAACCTTGTCGATCTAATCCACTTGGCCTATTGTGTTCCCTAAAAGTGTCACATTCCATCTGTTTCCAAGTCTACGTTTTAGAAAGATTTGAGAGGTTTCTATTGAAGTCAGCCGCTGGATTTGGAGCTTAGCTGAGCGAAGCGACATGACACATTCAGCTCGCTCCCTCCCCAATGAACTACCCCCACACCTCTCCACTCCCGCATTAATAACAATTTGTTGCACAACTACTCGTCTCCTTATTGGTCCCCTTGTTTTTCGCGCAACTCTCCCGGAGCGGTGACAAATCGGTGTGCTTCCTCGCCTTATGTTTCCAACGTGTAACATCTGCGAATCGCTTTCGCCACATTTATGTGTTGCCTGATACCTCGTAACCTACGCAACACATACATAGATGTTTCGGTTAGTATTCATCCTAGCCAAGCTCACTTTTTCCGTTCTCACTCTCCGTTCCACTGAATGCTGAACGGAATATGACGGACATCAGCTGTTTGCAAAACCGGTTTGTGAGAACCCTCCATTCAAGGTACACTTACTAAATCCACAACTATTAATCGATGTGTTTCTAGAAAACAAGTGGGGCCAAAATGGTTACATATCATTCAAGAATCGCATCAGGTCAAACCACCATTGTACCAGAACGTGAGGTTATACAAACGTAAACCTGCCACCTCTCCTAATAAAAAACCGACGCTGATGTGGTTACGCCCCACGGTAAGCTACGCCAAAGACACTTAGATGACCATCGCATATTCCCAGAGTATCCTCATGGAGTAGCCCCCTCTGACATAGATCCGGGTGTCTTCGCGTACCGTTAGAGGTAGTTGAATAACTGAATAGTGACAAAATACCTCTATTACGTGATATTTATTTAATGAAATATTACAAGCAAAGTTTACCTGTCCCTCTCAGAAGAGACTACTTGTGGTTTGCCGTTTGTAAATTTCTCTAATGGTTAGGTTCCCCCTGTAGAGATCACGTCCCCGTGAAAACCAGCTATGACGAATCCTCGCATGCGGTTTTTACGGGCACTCTCATTTGTGCACGAACTTAGTTTAGACAAGTGACTTAAGTGAGTCCAGCCGAATCTCTCGCTTATAATGATCCGCTTCAACTGAAGTTGCGAAACCAGGCCGCCTCATATTTCATTGGGTACGATAATCGAATTCAAGTAGAACGTGAAGTTGACGGAAACACAGAGAACGCGCCCATCTGATAAGCCCACAGTGGAAGAATGAAAGTGGTCGTGGATTGTCGAAGAGATTTCAGCGACTTTATGAGTAGCGTGTTATGTCCGGACAAAATTATTACACTTTCTCTGCGGCAATCGATCAGGCTGTCGTTTTCAAAACTTGTTCTTGTAAGGGGACAAGACTGTTCCTCTCGGAAGACCACCTACGCGCTCATTTACTATGAGGGACGATAGGAAGTTACGGCTTGGTGAAGATCTCTGGTGAGAAGGGAGTTGCGGTAGTACTGTTCGTTAGAAGAATTCGTCTACCGCGTTTCAGATCTTATAATGGATGACTACGCCAGTACTGGCACCAACTTCACAGTTTGATTGTATAGCTGACAAAACCCGCGATGAAAACACGTTCTTCCACGAAAGACGACCCCTCATTACTTGAACCGGCCAGGCGGTCCCTACACAAGTGACCTTTGTTCGGAGGAACTACTGTGTTGTGGGTGCTGATGTGTAGGGCTGCCGAATGCCCATCTACCGGAGTGAAGTCCAACCCCGACAGAGAATGCGTATATCCACAAAGGTTGACACGACATTCATCCTGAGTGGAAGTCAACATGTCAATTACTGGTGCATGGGTCATCCTATGAAGGCTGGTGTAGGACAGCCTGCAGATATCAACAAAGGTAAGCACATTCACACACAAACCGCTCACACGAGCAGTGCGTTTAGCGGACTACTGCGCTTTGACGCGAAAATGACACATTAGAAGTGAGTGAAGTGAGAGTTGAGTCGCGCTGATCAAGTGCCTTATTTTTTGCGATGTACACAGTATGACCATTCCAGTACCAGCAGTGTAAACTCAAAAGAAACAACACAAGATATTGACTAAACTTCGGACCACAAAGTTACAACACAAACAAATCGTGATCCTTCGGATTGTGCTGGGATGCGTCAATTCGCGAACTCTCTATCTTTCTCTGCAGTGTCGATATTCTTTTCTATGCT